GGGAGGTCATAGAAGTTGTGCGCTGTCACTAGCTGTAGCATCCAACATCGTTCTACACGCTAGAGAACTACCAGAGAAGAGTGCAAGTCACTTTTATCAGTCCCCATGCTCCCTTTCGCATAACGTCAGGTTAAAAGGTCAATAGATCCTTCAAATGTCGTACTTGCGATGGGCTATAAAGAGACAAAAGACCGCACAAATTATAATAAACTGCTTTTTTTATTTTCCTCTTGTTAGAAAACTTTTAAATGCTTGATTTATGATGCGGATAAAACATTAAGACTACTAGGCCCTATATGTCGCATGCACTGTGGTGATTTGCCCTCCACCAGTCTGTATGTGACAATTTAGTGCAACGGCATAGCGATATGTGTGAGGCAGAATAATAGTTGACCAAGACGCATCACTTTCTCGATTTGGCAGTGCCTACTGTACATCACGTTAGCGAATCCAGGAACAGGGAACATTTTTGCTCAGAGGCCCGATTTCTCATTTGTCCCTAAGCGATGATCAGTGTGTTCGCTTCCATTGTGCTCGCATTTGACCGGGCCATCATTGAGGTGCCTCTCAAGCTAATTATAGCGAGAAATGTGCAAACCTTCTATTGTTTGGAGGGAAGGTGTTAAGCACAAAGATAGAAGCTAGATAATGATATGCTAATCCATTCTGCACTACGATACCAAAATCTGAAATTGAGTAAGGAAGTGATTTTAGCTTTAAGACTTCCTTTAATCAGACTAAAATAAGCAGGAGTATTTACAAGCTGTCCTTGCTGCCCCACCTTTATTTAAAGCTTGTAAATCTTGTGCAAGAAAAGATGTGGGTGATACATAAAAGGTTATTGTTGCCGATGATGACAAATCTCTCTATGGTAGTCAGAACATTTGTAAAAAGTTGTGGGTTAGCATTCATTGGTTTTTTTTGACTGTTAGTTTTAGGCTGCGAATTTCTTCCGTATGTTGTGCTTAAATTTTGAACCACTTTCCATCTTTTAGGTCGATATTTTTGACTTGCAGCTGACTGACCAATGTCACTAATTGCCCATCAGTAGTACGACAGAAGGATGGAGTAAAATGCCACACAATGGCAAAATGCGCCAACATCGCACGTCGCAAGCTGATTCCATGGCTGAAATATGACTCCCTACAATAACTACAAAACAGGGATGCGATTCTCTTCATTTCTTTGCTGAACGAAAATGTTCTATCTTCTTTTTCTTCTTCTTCATCTCCCGTGTTCTGTAAACGCCGAATATGGTGGCTGAGTGTAAAGATACACCCCACAGATACATAATCCTTAAGTAGTTTTTACCATCTTGAAGCCGACATGGGCAGGATACCCACTTATTTAATTCCTTTTGGCTATCCTTTGGTCTGATTAAGGAGATTTTCAAC